GGTGGAATGTCAATACATGTGTATGTCAATTTGCAAACAAGGTATAGACATGGGTTTTCAAAATGGTGAACGGTACTTCAAAGCCTTAATGCGACTTGAGCAACTCATTCCATTCAGTATGCTCTTTAGATATTTTTGAAACATTAGTCATTATTTTATGCATGCCCACAACTCCTCCTTTATTATTTTTGAAAATTAAATGAAAAATGAGAAAATCAGTGCACAAATTGCAGGTAAGATGAAAATTCTAATGGAAAAAAAAATCTGTAATTAAAAAGGGTGGTTTTTTTAATAGAAGATTCCAATTTCTACTTTCAACATTCTTAGAAGTTTATGAAACACTGAAATATCATTTCAGTAAAAAGTTTACTTTCCACTCATTTGCTTGTTAATTTTGATCAGGTCCTTAACATGGCTTTAAAAGGCTCTAAGACACTGATTCCAAATGCTAAATAGGAAGCTTCTTGGAGAACGCGAGAAGGTTTAAGCCTTCAGTTTCTGCAGTACTCTCAGAACAAATTTGTCACCCTTGAAAGATTAATGAGGGAGAGAAAACAAAACAAAACAAAACAGACATTCCTGGATTCCTGAGCCTGCAGACAGAAAATTTAAGAAGATGCTTCTCAGTTGTGCTTGCTACTCAGAACCTAAACAGCAAGGAAAAGTACCAGAGCTATGTAAAAATTATAACCAAAAGTTTAAAATGAGAGGACAGTTGACCCAAATCACTGTTTCAAAACAACTACGAAGCTGGGGCAGGTGAGGAAAAGTTGTTGGAATATCCTTCTACACCTCATAAGTATTTCCAGGATGGAAATTTCTAACACCTGGGAGAGCAGTACAGTACCAGAGCCTCACTCCTCCTCCCTTTGACAGATGCATGAGAAGAGTACCAGAGCTGCTTGTCATACCAGCCAGGAAAAGGAAAGAGAGTTTTTCCTGGCAAAGCAGAAATCAAGGGTACTGCTAATATATCTGACATCCACTAAGCAAAAGCTGATACGAAAAGTTCACCAGGATCCAAGTTATTAACCTTTCCTGCTTCCTGACTATGCAATTAGGAAAAACTTCAAGCTGTACATAAACAGTCATATCTTAATGCTTTGGGTAATTGTTTTAAAGTAAGTAACATTTATTATAAGAAGATTTCCCATATACCCCTGTGTTATGAAATAGAAAACAGGCTGTGTAGTAGGGAATACTCTGGCCTTTCACCTCTGGAGAGCCAGTTTAAGTACATGCTGTTCCACATGTGCAAGTGATTTTTCCAGCTCCATTTAGTATCCTAGGTTGCTGCTGTCAAAACTTTGCAAACAGTGGCCTAAACCAGTACAATGTATCATGACAGAGACTAAGTTCTGAAATAGGAAAGGAGGTTTATGGCTTAAAATGCACTCTGAAGAGGTTTGGGGTTTGTTTCTGCCTTTACCAGGGTTTATTCTAGTTCTGCACCCTGAAACAGAGCACTCCATGAGTTTACAGAAGGAGGAACTGGTTTTAAATATTTGCTACATAAGTTATTTTCCAACTCTCAGTCTGCCAAATTGTCAGGAAATTAACATTTCCTTGAATCAAAGCAGGGACATATTAGAAGAGATAATAGGAAACTGACATCCAAAAATATTCTAATGTGAGTTAGGAAGCGTGCCTTTCACTAATGCCAGGGAAAAAATGATGCCATGTCATGGGCACAGGAGTTTGATAGTCCAAAGCTAGTGAGGTGGTATAGTATGCAATGACAAATTTGTGCATCATGCTACTACTTTAACGCATATTTAGTGCCCCCACGCCAAATCTCAAAAATCTGAGTGATATGAAGAAAGTTGACATAGCGTCCCCCCAAGCCCCCGATTCAGTACAAAAAAAAATTAAAAAAAGAAAGAGTGGTTGTACTCTTTCAGAATGCATTGGATAGAAAGATAACATTTGGCACAAAACTCAAATGAAATACCAATCTAGAGAGCAAGAGCCTGCTTCAAACATTATAGTTAGTCACACTACAAATCAAAAGATTATGTTATGATTCTGAGGAGGCTACTTTATACATAGCACAGCCATTATATTCAGAGGATGTATATTTGCAGATGAGAAAAGTTGTAACATCAATGATCTTATAGTACAATGAAACAAAATTTATTAAAAGTAATTGTTCCCTTATATGGAAGCTTCAATGGCACAAGAAAAAAAAAAACTTAAAATGTCACACTGCTACATACTTACAAAAATCCATTTTCGTAGCTAAAACTATTATGAAAGCCAAAATTATGAGCAGAGAAATTTTGAAATCTGTACTATTATTATCTTAGAGGACTCATTCAGTTTCATACTGTTTCATTACAATGAATCTTTGATTTCAAGATTTGCTCAGTGTGTCTAGTAAAGCCTGTCCCAGGACAGTATTCTTATATGTAAGATGCCTTAAAACCTGAGAGACAAAAATAGCTTTTACTTCACTGACAGGAATATACCTTTATTAAATGGATAAAAGGCTCTAGCTTCAATCCAGCTCAGCTGGTCATTTTGATCTAGTATGTAAAATCAGAAGTGCTTTAAGGAGATAAAAATTTACAACATACTCTGTAAATGGGTGAAGGACTTTCTCAAAACAAGCCACTGAAAAGAAACTAGGACACAGCCTTACATCACAAGTATAAATTAAGTATTGCCTTTCAAATATGGGTTTTGAGAATTTTAAAACAAAGAGTGAATAGATTTAAAGGTCAATCCATGATATATCAATAAAACAGGATCTAGAAATTGCTGTCTGAAACAGCAGCACCTTGGAGAGCAAGTCACCCTTCCAGTAAACCAGGCAGAACAAAAATCTTTGAAAAAGAAAATGCAGATTGAACATTAAAGAACTCTTTAAATTAATACATCTAATATGCTATGCATTCCCAGCTATAAATCAAAAGACATTACAGGATTCACTAGGAAAAGAACTGTTAAAAAGGGTACCCAAAACAGATATCAGAGGAGAATAGGTAAGAAACCGAAGTACTACTTGGTGGTAAGTTCTGACCTTGAACACACAAAGTAGTCCAGCAGGAGGAACTGCATAGAGCATCAATATATCGAAGGCATATACTGAATCAACCTCAAAACATGTCAGAACATATCAGAGTATATACATTACTCACAAACAGTGAGAGTATTGTTTTTCCTCAGCTTCAAAACATACAACATATTTGAGCTACCAAGGTTGAGATACCTCTGACCTAAACACCTGCCTCACCTTACTTCTTTAAATGTGCCTATCTTCCTCACATCCCTCATGTAAGTTGTTCCCCCACAAGATCATGACAACTGTCATGCTGCAAGCTCTTTATGATACAGATATGTTTTCTGATAGTTTACTTGAAATAGTTACTACTATTTATTTTATTCCAATCAGGGTGTGAAATCTAATGACAGAGGTGGTGTTTGAAATATTCTGGATAAGAACACAAATACGAAAAGCCATGATGAACAATATCTATTAGCAAGCCATGAGTAAAGGATAAACAGAAGAAAAAAATATTCTGAGGCCAACCTTCATAGCGCTCATAACAATCCCAGACCTAACACAACAAAAACCAACCAAACACCACCAAAACGCAGAATATCTTACTGAGAAGGACTTTATATAGACAGTAGCAGCAGACACAGATAAGGACATTCAATGTCAGAGTAAGAGCTGGAAGCCCAATTTATATTGAAATCTACAGATAAACAAATTACCCATACCAGAAATTATATGAATCTGCATTTTATTCTTTCATCTCGCTTAACTGCTCTTTTTTGTCCATCAGAGAGTCTAAGCAGGCTACAGTTAGGAAGAAAGGAAAGCACACGGAGTGAACAGAAGCGGGTAAATCCTCTGACATAATGAACAAAACCAAAGCAAACCAACAAAAGAAACAAACAAACAACAAAGAAAACCCACCACCACACAAAATACAACCAGCAAAACCACAAAACACATAAAAATACCAACAGGAAACTTTCCTCAAAAGTAGAAAATTTATGTCTACTATTATTACACTAAAATACATATCCTTATCAGTTTTTATTCTTTCCAAGCTCTTGCTGACTTGCTGTTGAGTCATTTAGGGGGAGGAGGGAAAAAAAACCACACAGCTCACTGTCTGATGAGAGCTGTAGATACTGTCCTACTGTCCTAGAATAGGCCAAAGTTTGTGCAAAGAGATGCTTTAAAAACATTAACTTTGCTAATATCACATATAAAAAGAAATCCAACACAATGAAAAGAAAGTGTTTGAACATGTACACCATCACTGAAAATTTCACCATCTCTTTTTGAACAAAATATAAGAGATATGGAATTCAGAAGGAAGCTGATCAAGCTGACTCAAGAAAGCCAGAAGGAATGTAAAGCATTTATTCAGCAACACCAAAACCCAACAGAAGGTATCTGCAACTACCTTAAAAAAAAAAAAAAAAAAAAAGCTAAGATTTCTACAAAGAGAATAGACATCAGCAGCTAATACTGCATTTCTATTCTTCAGTATGAGAAATATGCATGACATCAGTCCAGATTTTTCAAGCCTGGTGCATGCCATGGTCTCAAGCAACTGTAACTCAAAAAACTCAGCTGAGGGGCTGGAAGGACTTTTTAGTGCAATAAACTATTACATTACAAATAAGACGAGATGTAAAATAGGAGCTTGAGGGGAAAATCTCCTTATCAGTATTTCTGTTTATGTAAAACAGAATCGTGTACAAAGACAGAGCACTGCATTGCATAGTTGAAACAAGCGCCAGCAATGCAATCAGCATGATATCAAATGAGCAACAGGGTTGCTTTAAGAAACCAGAAGGACACTGCATCCTGAAGCTTACTGATTGTCAGGCTGAGGGGACGCAGAAGCAGCAGATAAAGCTGAAGTATTTGTTGTAAACTTTCCAGCATTCAGTCTTTATTTGTCCAAGTTTGATACTCCCCTCTGTGGGTGGAGAAGCCGAGGGACTGGCTGACGTCACCCAAAGAGTGGGGATAAAGCACAGTGCCCGCAGCTGTGGGGCGAGTTAAACTTCCTAAGAGGTACATAAGGTCGACTGCCCTGTTCAGCAGGTGCTCTACTGACAGCACCCTTCCTCCTACAGCTTGGCTCCACACACAGACCTAAGGAACAAAGAACAATAACCAACAAAAAAACTATCCACAATGCCACAAAATGTTATTCTCCAAGGACCGGCACCCTGGGGATTCAGGCTCTCAGGAGGAATAGATTTTAATCAACCCTTAATCATAACCAGGGTATGTATTCTTTCCATTTTCTTTCTATTTATTACATTTATTAGTTGTTGCAGATTTTTGCCTGTTACTTTTCTGGAGTTCAGAGATACAGACAAATCTGCGAGTAGATTATCAGGTAGCTGCTAGTTCTGAGGAGAGCCAGCTGAATGCTAACAGTTTGTACAAAGTTTTGTGAGAAATATTTTTGGGGCTGCTTTACTGATCTAAGAGACTTGAACTGCATTTCTACTTTTATGCCTCAAAAACTTAATTCAAGTGCTTTGGTGGCAGAAAAACTCTGTCATGATTTCCCCAGGCATTCAGATGAGAAAATAAGTTTTGAGCCTACTAAAGACAAGACCCCACTCTTATCACTTTCACAACTAGCCTCTGTGATCACTGGGGGAGAAGACAGCTTGGCAGCAGCTCCTCATGTCTGGAAGTTTGTGCTTTGCAAACTCCATGCCAACTTTACAAGATTAATCTGACTCATTTAATTAAATCAAGTTCTGATTACTGCCAGCAAAGGCAACAGCACCTGTTTTTACATATGCAAAGTTTTTCACTTTCATTGGTGTTAAATCAGTGAATTATTATAAAGCTATCCAGTCCTGAATATGAAGGAGATGAGGTTTACTGCCATATTTAGAAACAATTTACTTTATCTCCTTAAAGGGCAAGAATCCAAGCATTAATTTTTTCATGGATTTTGAGCTATTAATTACAATTTAAGAAAACAGTTACTCGATGAATGGAGCATATAAAACACTGTCAGTTGCCCTGAATCTACAGACAGATCTAATCAAAAGACAGGATATGTAATTTGATAACTGGTATATTTTGAAAATTGTGTTCAATGCACATCAGACTAGATTTAGACCTCCCTATATTTTTGCTGCTTTTCAGAACCTCGGTGTGTTCCATAAGCCTCCAAATCACCAATGCTTTTTTTTTTTTTTTTTTAAAGTCTTGCACTATGACTCAATATATACACTGTGCCTGGCATTAAATAAACATCAAGAGCCTTGAAGGATGGATCCCATTGGTGATGCCTTGCAGTAAATACGCTTCTAGACAAGAAAAGCTGAAGGACCAACCTTCCATGTATTATACTAGTAAAAAAATAATCACTTATTCCCATTTATCTAAGCATAAAAGACTTTACTTATTTTAAACAGAAGTAAACCAGAATGCTATTATTTGACTGTGTGTAGCTTCATAACAAAAACTCACAGGACACAGCAAAGCCTTTGGAGAAATAGAAGATAAAAACATTGAATTAAAAAAAAAAAATCTCTGTATGTTTGGGGCCTTCATTGCCTTTTATGGGCCTCCAAAAGAAAAATAGTTTCCATTATCTCTAATGAAAAATATTTTAGTGGTGTCTGGTTTGTATTTTCTTTGTGTTTAGATTAAGTGCAATGAAGTTTGAAACTGTAATAACAAAGCATGTTACTATAAATGTAACTCTCTAAAGAGTAAATTATTTTGAGCTCAACTCATACCTACCAAATGCCTCAAAAGGCGTAAGCCATTGATTTCTAGCATATTACAGAAATACTCAAAATCACATTTAAAGTAAAACTATGAAATAACGTGTGTATATATATATATATATATATATGGAAAAATTACATGTTTAAGTTTGCTTAACTCAAATTCAAGAATATTAATGGTAGATTTGTTTAAAATTTAATATTTTTGTGGCTGTAGCATACATTTAGAAGAGTCCCTAAATAAGTATTCATGTAGTAGCCCTTAAGAAGTAGTAAATATTTCACAAGATCCATATGCCTTCCTTTTTGGGGCCTAGGTGTTCCTTTTGTTAAAGATATCACTGGCAAATGATTCACATTTGGTTTAACTGTCAAGAAAAAATATTAGCCATTAAAGCAATAAAAAATATTTTTAAACATTTTGAATGAAACAATTGGACAGGTGTTAAGTGTGGTTGGCTATTGTCCTTGTTCAACTAGAGAAAGCCTTTACCGGGACTTGTCAAGAGAGACGGACAACATAAGAGATCATCATCCACCTGTCAAAAGAACAGATGTCATCTCAAAAACCCATCTGCAATTTGTTCTGTTGTTTTGACTGTTTCAAGCAAATGCAAAAACCACAGATCATGATCACTGGGAGAGTAGGAAGAACAGGAAGGGACTAAAAACAGACATTCAGTTTCTATTAGGGTCAGAAACAATGAATTAACTAGAAGTATTGAAAACACTTCTTGAAATCCTTGGAACTTTACATAGATGCAAAGACATTTCATCCATGAAACTAGTCAAAACCCTAGTCTTAATGAAACTCAATTTCAGTTTATTCTGACTAAAAGATAGCATTCTGTGTTATTTAGAGGAATGCTATCCTATAATTTAAGTCATATTGAATAAAGCATTATGGGAACAACTGAAACTGTAGAGGTTGGAGGGAATGGCAAAATTTTCAGATTTAAATTATATTTTAATATAAACCTTTACAGATCACAAGTATTTATATTAACTCAGTTTTATATTTAGCCACTCTGTCTGCAGACATTCATAATTCTTTAAGAAAATGCAGAGCCTGAAATATTTATGAAGGTGTGCCATGATAAGCTTCACAAGTCTATTAACAGATACAAAGAGGTTTTCTTCAAAGTTTCACAGAAGACATTGCCCCTCACATGGTTAAATAGTTATCTAGCCTCTGATATCATATGAATGCTCAATACATATCCTTGTACTTATCCAAATGTGAGATACCTAGGATATAGGAGCAACAGGTGTGCCATAGAGACATGTCCTGAATAGCAAGGCAAAAATTTTCCAAAAGCATCAGTAGAATTTACCTCATGAAGACAGTGTGAGCAAGCAACAAACACCACAGTCATAATACAATGTTCATAATACATACTTAATGCATCACTAATAAGCTCCTTAAGAAACAGTATCACTTACCTTATTGAGGTACCCACAATATCAATATTATACCCATGATATGGTGTAATCTTGCAACACACAACCTGGTCCCTTTCTATAAAATGTAGTCTGCAGTACTTTTGTCTGTTCCCCCTTCCCCATAAGAAACAGTTTTCCCCCCTGAAATATTGAGATAAGACCTGGCAGCTGGCCATATTCATCCTCCCCCATCCTAGCAGCAGATCTCTTTCCATCAAACCCAGCAAGAGCACACGAGGAAAAGGATAATAGATAGGCAGGTAACTCTGCACCCCAGAAGGCCTGTGTAAGTAGAGCTCAGCACACCCATCAAGGTGTTAAGGCCCAACAGACACATCCCAGAAGGCTGGCAATAATCAGTTCACCTAAGGAATAGAAAGTAGTGACTCCTGGCCCTTTCCCTCCTTGCTCCCACCTAACAATGGTAACACCATCCAAGTGGTATCACTGCAGCTGGTGACCATATGCTAAGAAAATCTAAGGGGTTGTGCATTATTACCAGCAACACAGAGTGTGTTAGGTCCTACTGGCAACACAGCTGCAAGGGAAGGTACCATGCTAGGCAGATATGCTACTTTATAAGGCAGGATCATGATCTCAGTACATTGCTGCAGTATACCACAGATACAGCAGATGATTTGTTGTGACATAAAAAAGCATAATCCACCAAGTAATTTATATAAGAATTATTTAAACAGGCTCTTGAGTGGGAACCCGTTTTGGTTATTTTCCCATTTTGGTTATTAGACCATTAACAGTCACACTCGAACAGTAGGAATTCTGCTGCAGTTTGTCATTTCATGCATGTCCACAACATGAAGTCAGTAGCCATTCCAGGTTAAAGGAAGAAGCACGATCATACCTCTATACTGTCTTATTACAATAACTTAAGTAGTCTCAGTGTTGTTCATTTACACTTACAGCTGGTGAAGTCTGAGAAAAAGTTTTGGAGATTTCAGACAGAATTTATGAGCAACTTTCTCAATTCATATTCAGATTATTCAGCCACATTAACACCTTGTTAAACACACAATACACGAGCCTACGCTTTTGGAGGGCAAGGGGGTTAAAGGCTTCAGCTGGCCACAAGTACTCATTTGGAAAGTTCATAATAGCACATGCATTGCAGTTTGTTATAGCAAAATCAAAAATAAGTTTACATGCTGAAATGCAGAAGAAAAAAAAAAAAAAAAGCCCAAAAAACAAACTCTTTGAGCATTCAGACACACCTAATAGAGATGGACACCTGGAAAGAGGAGAGAATAACCCTATCTGGCTAATTTTTGCCATTGTTTCAACACCAACACAGTGCAACACATATCAAAAAGAGTATTTCTGTTTATCTTTTATGCTGACAATGCTGTCACCTTCAGAGGCAACAAGTCTGCCAGGTTCACTGTAGTTGGGGTTCAGAATATACTGGAAGTATACTGGGCAGCTTCCTCCCTCCCTCTGCTGGGAAACACCAAAATTGAAAAATATTTCCATAGCATGTTTTCCAGTCCTCCATAACACTTAATTACCTGTAGTAATTGAGATAGCTCTTGGTTTGGCTGTAGCAGAAGCCATGGTTAGAAAAAATCTCTCCAATAGCTTTTTTTTTTCTACTTCATATTTGGCACGGATCAGAGAACTGCTCTTGTAAGTAAGACTATATTGATGTTTTTGTCCTTCACACTGGGATTTATTTACTTCAGAATAAGCAGTGTCATTCTAGATGACTCAACCTGTCCCCTTTGTTCTGCTGTTCTAGAAGACCCGAATCCCAGAAGTTTATGTGCTACATCCATCAATTTCACATAGCTGTCTTGATTATCAAAGGTCACCTAAAAATGCAATATACACCTAAGGGACCTAAATCTCACTTAGTGACCAAAGATCTGTTCAAATGGTACAGTGGTATGAGAAGTCATCTGTTTGCAAATAAAGGCCTGCAATTCTAGAACAAGCTTGAGTAGCATCTAAGGTCATGGCCTCTCTACAATAGTTACTTTAAAAGTGAATTATGTTGCATTTCAATTATTTTAACCATGATGTAGAAGATTGTCAACAAGACCAAAAAAAAAGCAAGCATAGAAAGTTAAGCTTAGGGCTATTTCTATGAATGTCACTGACAGTGGTACATTTCCATGAGGTATGAATTGCACCACAGAGATCGCCTTGAAGGATAAGGACCACTATTATTCATATTCAATGGGTCTTAAAGCTAAGCACTTTAAGGAGTTCAAGGTCTGGATTGGACATGAATAAAGAGAAAAATGTCATTTCAGGATTATTAGCATATTTCTGATTAGTTAGCAATACAGCATGAGAGGCCAGGCTAGCAGAAAACACACTGTTGTGTTTGTCCTTAAATGTGGTAAGACCACAAGTGGCTTTCTGTATTATGCAGTCAATGGCACATCATCCACATGAACATTAAGTAACACAATTTCTTAACAGTTCTACTTTTCTGATATTGTCTGGAGTTGTAAGGGAAAAACAACTGGGTTTTTTTTTTAAGCAAATGACACAATGGCTGTTGAGATATAAGATTCAAAGACAAGTTACAGTAACTACAGAAATCAGAGTGGAAACTGTTTAATGCAGAATTGTGAAGATAATTTCCATCTCATTTAACACTATGATGGATAAAGCATTTATATGGTGATCTGACAATAGAACTACAGAGGCTCTGGTAGAATTAAGTACTCACTTATTTTTGTAAGTAATCATATAGTTGTTTACAGGACCTCTCCCCAACTTAATAGGAAATACGGAAGCATGGTGAAGTTTATTCTCTCTATCAGTTTTTGTGTATGCATGGTGCTTAAGCAGTTAAATTTTCATTTTTCAGATTACACCTGGAAGTAAGGCTTCAGCTGCCAACCTGTGCCCTGGTGATGTTATTATAGCTATTGATGGTCTAAGCACAGAGAACATGACACATAATGATGCCCAGGAGAGAATTAAAGCAGCTACACATCAGCTTTCTTTGAAAATAGAGAGGTATGTGTACATGTCTGCTTACTTCTGAAAGAAGCAGCTACCCAATCAACTGATTACACAGTACAACTATTATATAGTGTAACTATTTTAAATAGTTTTAAGAATTTCACAAAACCTTCAAAATTATAAGCACCCGGACTTATCTCACCAACTCCAGATCAGGCAAGACTCCCCAGAACACGTCTTCATGGACACAAGAATAGCTTCCCTCAGGCTACACCACATTTATTGAGATGTGAACCATACAATCTATTGCCTCGGTTGACTCCACAAGTCCCATGTTTGCTGTTAGTAAACAAACAGTTCTTCATATTTTGGGGAGACAATAAAACTCTCAGCTAGCTATCACTTGTTCAGTTATCTGTCTTCTCTAACACTCCCTCAACCACAGGTGCTTATCATTGCCTCTGTCCCAGTCACAGACAAAGCTGCTAACATACCCTCCTAGTGAAAGAAAGCAACAACGTGTCAGATTTTCCTAAGGGGTGATAAAGGAGGGGGCTTACCTCTTTGGTAACAATGTATTAAGCCAAATACAGGATTCTCAAAGCAATGTTAAAAACAAAACAAGACAAAAAAACCTTCTTTTACCTAAAATGCATGAGTCCAGAAGCTTTTTTGTGTTCATTTTTCTCAACTAAAGCAAGCAAGAAAAACAACCTGCATCTTCACATCTCCTAACTGAGTTTGCTCAGCCCTTAATCAGGATCACCTAGTGCACTCTCTCAGCTGTCTCCAAGAATCAGACAGCTCTGATTTATCTGAGGCCCTCAAAGAGGCACAGCACTTTCTTACAGCTGACCACAATATTTCTTTCTAAATACAGAAGGTATGGGTTGTTTTTTTTAAAGGAGCATTGTCTAACTACTAGAGCACACACCACGGTTAGAAATTCCTACAGTTAATTCTAGGTTCTGTTACAGATTGACATATGCCATTTAGCAATTAGGAAGCAATTTTCAAAATACAATAAGTGTAACTATGCCTATGAAATATGTGTATATTTTTAAAATGCTAAATATTTGTATTTAGATAACAGTACTAGATTAATATTTAACACTAATATTACACTATTTTAAAATTAGCTCCCAATTTTTACTCTGTCAATGAAAACAGAGTTGTAACAGATACTTGTCCGCTTAAGAGACTGAAAGATTCATCTCTGCAACTTCTATTTACAATTGCACATATGCTTTGCATACCTAGATTGCACTTTTCTGTCATTGAAAAGCAGGCTTTGCCTGGATATTGTGGTCATAAAAAGATAAATTGATGTTGTTCTGGTTTAGGATTATTATTAATATTTTCACTTGTGCAAAATACTCTGAGGACCCAACATGCATTCTATCAACCATTTGAAAAACAACAGTTTAGTCAGCTCAGGTCAGAAAGGCACTAATTTCCATTTCCCTTTGCATTTAGTAACTACTAACAAATTATTTCCCATTATTCATATATACATCACTTTTATAAAAGTAAATACACTTTTTATATATTGTTTACATATAGTACACATCATATATTGTTGAAGTATCTTTCCATCAAAACATTAAAACACACAGAGCAAACAGCAAATTTTCAAGCTGCATTATATTTTACAGGGACACATACAACTCTGTAAGAATTCGAGTTACTTAAATTGTGCCTTTCTTTCTTTCTAGGGCAGGAACTAAATTATGGTCCCCGCAAGTTTCAGAAGATGGCAAAGCACATCCCTTCAAGATAAACTTGGAAGCTGAACCACAGGTATGAATTGTTAAAAGTTACTTAACCATTTCCATGCACCTTTTTACACTCTAAATGATCTCCCTTGTGGTCATTAAAATTCTTTGCATAGCACTTCATCCATTATTTGTCAGTTTAAGCTGGCCATCATAATTATGATATCTATCAAAATCATTTTATCTGAATGGATGTTTTTGATTATTCAGCTATAACTGAAACAAAACATTAACAAGTTACAACACATCCTCATTTTTCTTTAAAACTGTAGATATCACCATAGTTTCATTATGGAAAGAAAGTATCTCCCTTCACTCTGATATGGTTTAAGCTGCTTTAACTCTTTTAGAGGTTCTTCATAATATGAGGAGGTTCTTCAATCAGGAATAAATGTCAAGTAACAAGCAATGCATTCATCACATCACAAAAGTAATTCTGATGTAACAGAGAGGTCCATTAATGCTGGATCTCTTTACTTCCATACATTTTTACAGTACAGCACAGAACTGAAAGCTACAAATCTGTACAAAACCCACACACTGATCAATAAGCAAACCATTCACTAATTCTGACCAGCAAAGTCTTGATCCTTGCATATGACCAAAGCAAATCCAATCAGTTGAAATCCTCCTCTGTCTTCAAACTCACACCCAGTCCCTTGTGCAAAGCTATGAGCCAAAGTTTCGGTATTGTTAATAGTTAATCAGCTAGCTACTATCTACAATTACTGCTTTATTCCTTTATTTATTCCTCTTTAACCTACATGAACTTTTGCTGTTCTCTCAAGACAGGGGAGGGAAAAGCATTCTGTTGATCCTGGAAGGCCAGGATCAAAGCAACTATGTCAAAGTATTTATTCTGTGCTAGCCTAGAAAAAATTTAAATGTAGATTCCATTTCAGTAAACCCTACACAGTAAATACTTCCTCCAATTCTGTTTTCATGGACATACTCCCAAACATGAATATGGCATTTCAGTGTTCCAGATCTCTCTCCTCTTTCCAATCTAAAAACTTGCATTAAGCAAAATTCATCAGAAATAACATAGCCTCTTCAGTGGTAGGACATAGTATAGTGAAGAAACAAAACTATTTTAAATGCTTATTTTTGTGGAATAGCTAGCATACACATAAAATAAATAGCAATGGAACAAAATCACTAAAAAGGCTGTCAAGAAAACCATGTAGGCATGTACGACAGGGGAGTGATCCCTCTGCATGAAAGCTACATTCCTAAAAAGGATAGCTACTTAAAAATAAATCACAGTATTTCACTAGTGCTATTTGGCAGACTGTTGAAAAGCAGTGTCCTTTGGGCAATCAGGAAAACTGTTTCTTCTAGATTAAATAGTCAGACTCTTCATTTTAGTATGTCTATCTTTTTCCTTCCTAAGAAAATCAAGAGTACCAAGTATATTTAATAAATAGTAGGCCCCAGAAAGTATCAATGCTTGTAAACTAATATGTTTAAACCACTCTAGGGATGATTTACATTTTAGACTAAATTCTTTCATCCAAGAACATCCATCACTCTGATCCCCCTATGAAAAAAATAGAGCCTTTTTTTCTAGAGTTGCTGAAATTTTAAGTTAAATTTTAGTTCCTATTTTCACAACACAGGAGACCCACCAGTAGTGAAAACAGTACAACATCAAAGTTTCTTTAACCTCATGAATTTTTGGCCATGAAAGACATTATACGTTCCTGGGAGAAATAAATACACTCTACACAAAGATAAGCATAAAAAATCTAAAAAAGCCCCAGCCCGCTACTCTAAAAAGTAAATTTATAGTCTATTACCATTTCTAATCAAGTTTTTGAAGCAATATAATTGTGCTAGTCTGGTTGTGAGGACCTATCCTCTTTTCCACAACAGCATTCAGAGACAATTTCAGTTACACGATACCTCCAAAATGTAAACATCTGTGTGCTGTCATAACAATTATCCCCAAGGAATGCTATCATATGGTCCGTGTTGGATGCATTTCTGCAGACTTTGGGGGCTACATTCTTTCTACTCCTGACACCTATATCAATGCAAAATGTAGTTAGCCCTACAGAAAAGACACCAGTCAGCTGGAGAAAAAATAAGAAATTAAATACTGTAATTATTGTCTATTCCTGATTAGAAATTTCAACAATCTCCAGTTCTCATTTAGCTTTTGAACTAAAAGAGGACTTTTCACAGATTCAATGTGATCAAATAAACACAAGAGCTGGACTATTTTTACTGCTGTATGTTCTGTCACTGACATTTTATATGAATAGATAAGTTAAAAAGAAAACAGAATTTAACTAACTGCAAATACTTGTTTCACAACTGTTACATTGTAAACATGCTTTATGGTGCCATGTGTCTTCTGTGATGTCTATTTGTCAACAAGAAATAAAAAAGAGGATGAAATTGCAAATGTTCACAGTTGGTTTTGTTTGTTTTGTATTATACATGGATTTAAATTGAATTTAAATACTTTGGCATTAATATCTTTCATTAAGTAGACATGAACCTCATTATTCTAAACACTAGTAGATTATTTCCGTTTACTAATACATTTTGTTAACTGCAACCCAGTTCTGTTAGACAGAAACAAGGAACTGGAAGTAAAATCTTTGTGCTCATTTATCTGATTGCTGCTTTCAGTAGCCTCTTCTAGTGCAATGCTGCTAAACATTTTCATTTAATAAAACTGCTTTTTACTGTTTGCATTTTCTGGTTGCATGTTCTATATATCCATGACTTTTCTTTAGATCTGTTACTAAATATATTTCTGAATCTGTTGTTTTAAATTAAAACAAAGGGCCAATTCACATTCAGGTTTTCATATTTTTTATAAATTATTCACTGAAACTTTTAACAGACTTGATACTGCCTGAGAAAGGAAATAATGCTCTGAAGAATGACTAAAAATCTACAGGTGTCAGAAATGTGTCCATGCTTATCTAATCTGCTCTTATTATCTTGATTTATTCTGTGGATTTGAGTATTCAAATATCTATTTTGGTGTTTGGTATTAGATTGTATTTTTTCTAAGTGGAAATTTTTCTAGCATTCTTAAAGGCTAAGGTAATCTTAAATGGCATTCCTGCATCAAAAACCCGCTTTGAGTTTTATTTAGCAGAACTAGGAGACTAGTTTGTACAGCTTGCAAGATGTAAGTGAAAGACCACAATTACACCTGAATCATTTTAAAGCTGAAGATATTGGGTGTGTCACCATTAAAAATATGTGATAGCAAATACCAGACAGTGTAAACTATATGCAGCGACTAAGTCAAAAGCTCCCGTACCTAAGATACAAGCTTCAACAGTTTGATATAAATCCAATCCAGCAGTATCAGAACTTAGACCGTCTATAGGTCATATGATACAGTGGGATAGCAACATAAATACAGATATGGTCCATAGTACTGTAGGTGTATTTCTAGTACCCCAATCACACTCAGAAACAAAGCCAAGCCAGAGAACTGGCAAAGATTTCTATGAAAATTTCCAAATTACCCATTTCTGGGTTTTACTTATTTATGATGATTTCACATTACCTTTCAATTATACAGCATCACAATTTTTGACACACAGGTATGCTTCGAAGTATGGAAAAGTTCAGAAGGATGTCCTCAATCTGATGTACATTTAAGACTATTTCAGTTAAAGTGAGTGTTAAGAATTTTGTGTTTTCTAGGCAAGAAATTTACAATAAAATCTTTCTACTTTAGGAGTCACTCCATCAGTATGTGACAAAAATGCAGAAGGCAGAGATTATTACTTAAGCAAAGCAATTAGGCTAACTATACATGAGATATTTCTAAAAGAAGAAGGTAAACAGAGCAAAATCCAGAGAACAATACAATACAGATCACTATAATATTCATCTCTCCCATTTCTTCTTAAAGTTGTATGCTATTCACAAACATGGAATGCCTTCTGCTTGCCCTGAGGCAGGAAAATAATAGTCTCTGAATGTGTATGGCTTAAGTATCATATAGAAAGTTCATGGAAAAATATAGTATGCTTGCACCAGTTAAAAAAATAACAAAGGCGCAAAAGTCAAAAAATGCAGAGATTAACAATACTGATATTGTCAGTTTTACTCATTACTAGCTTTGGTGTGCATTGTAGCTTTGTGTATTTTGTCTGCCTATCATGTACAGGAATTCAAGCCTATTGGTACAGCTCACAACAGAAGGGCCCAGCCTTTTGTTGCAGCAGCAAATATTGATGACAAAAGACAGGTAGTGAGCTCCTCCTATAATTCTCCAATTGGGCTGTATTCATCTGGCAATATTCAAGACGCACTTCATGGACAACTGAGGGGTCTCATTCCTAACTCATCGCAAAAGTGAGTACTGGTATTTACTTATAATACATGATCATTTGTGGTATATCACTATCTGTTTTGTTTTCAATTAAAAAGTCCAGCTCTTGCTGTTTTTTCTGATAATCAGGAGTTTATTGATTATCCCAAAAAAATGGTGATAAGTGAAGCAATTTTTTTCAACACAGAAAACTATCCATTCAACTCTGTAGTAGCAACGCTGCTGGTAGCTAAAATCTTCCATCTATGTTGGGCTGCAACACTACCTACCATCCTTCTCTCTTATAACTGCACTTTACTCTGAATGTTTCTGAACACTAAAGTGATAGTACTTTGAGTACCAGGAATGTACAACCTAAACACAGTTACTTCATGGTTAGAATTTTAAAACTTTGTTTGCTACTTTTTATCTAGAAATAAGCATTTGTAGGCCAAAGAAAGTTATTTTAACCCTCTTTTCTTTACAGGATATGAACTACTTTGAACACAAGCATAATATTCGGCCCAAACCTTTCATAGTCTCAGGCCGAAGCAGGTTATAAACTCTGAGTGCTGTGTTGGATTTGGATGCATGGTGTTATTTTTTTAATGGATACTCACCATTCATATTAATAAAGCATACTGATGCATTTGAAATTTACTTATAGTAGCATATAGCTTAACATTGAAATTAAAAATGTAAAAAAAAAAAAAAAAAAAAGAAATAGTTGACTTGCAGAGATCGGGCTTGAAATTCAAATTTCTATTTCCAAAAGAAAGCAGGTCCACACTCCCATCTCAGTTATAAGATTCTGAAGTAACTGTATTCATGAACCTGATTCAGTTTACAGCACAGCACCAAGCATTGTATACTTAAAAATCTATGGCACTCTGAAATTCTTCTGTCCAAATGCAAATATATGTAATTTGCTAACTTGCTAAATTAAAGATAGCTAGTTATATAAGCTACATCTAGGCCAGTCAGAGATTTTGTTTGGTTTTCAGCAGACCTCTATTCAGAAGGCATGCTAATGCAGAGCTAAAATAGAACTATCTGATGCCACAGACATGTAAAGCTCTAAACTGCAGAAAAGCTTATATATTTACATCCACCATTTTAGTGTAATATTCCTCTATCATAACTGGGGATGAAATGCCTCACTATTATTTATATTATTAAATACATAGGGGAAAAAAATGCAAACTCTGTGGCTAAAAATTCAAGGAAGCTCAAAAGCACCTGAGTGATGAAATACATTGTGATGCTCCCCTTATCTTTTCTAGCAGTAGCAGTTTTTACCAGTGGACTTACAGTGTTCTGAAAGTTTAAAATGCCTGCATTTCAATTATACCAATTTAAGTCTGACAACCAACCAGAATAACAGGATGGTAATTGATTCCTGTGTACAAAGGACATTCTCATATGGATTATCAGTTTTATGAGATGTGTTAAATTTTTCAACTACCTGAGTGATAAAGAGGAGACTGTAGAAGATGGATAGAGTTCCATCCTTCTGTGAACAAGAACTACCAATGTAGAACACCGCCACAATGGAGGAAAGGTGCCCATCTCTCCTTGCAGTTTGATGCTGATCCGGGATAAAAGACAAAAGAGTCCTTATCAAACATGCATGGCCTTTAACTGTGGACAGCACTTACATATAGTGCCTACACTAACCTTTGGACCACCAGGTACCATTTACAGGTTACTAATCAGATTTATGGAGATTCAAATGAGTATATCAAGAGCCTCATCTCCTAATACAGAAACCTCTATTACACAGTATTTTCCATTAAAATATTGAAGTAAATGGCCATTTTTCAGCATGTCAGGTGGGGAAAAAAACTGCAAAAATTAACCTAACAGTGATACAACAAGTTTCAGAACTTTAGTTGGGCAAGGTCTGTCAAGTGTTCTAGCACTGGAGAAATTTGTATTTACAAACTGCAGCATCTCTGACACAGGGTGTTACATCTACAAAACTGTGATTGTCACACTGTCTGCTACTTTGTCATCAGTTTGGCTCAATATACATCCTCTGTTAAACACATCAAAACCCAAACTACCACCTTGACTGTAAATATCCCTTTGGGACAGACAGCTGACACTCCATAGGACTTTCACTAAAAGAGGAGCCAATTCTGGACTGTGGGTTTGAGCTACCAGATTGGACATTAGCCACAATTTTGGACTTTACTCTGGCAAAACTAACTGGAAATTATACTTAATATATCATTATGTTTTATTTATACTTTCCTTAGAATTTATTCTGCTTTAACATTACTTTGGCTGCTCATAGAAAGCTGTGCTTTTACTAGCCTTTTCCTGCTATGTTCCATTTACTAACACTATCAAAACTGACAAAACTTATTCTACTGCAGGATCTAAAGGTGGTCATGATTATTCCAAAAGAAAAGACTGTAAATTTATAAGTTGTCCCTGTGTGAATTTTTTGGCTGGTTCCTGCTAGGCAGTGATGCAGAACTGTACTTTTGCCTTAAGGCTTGACTACTGTTTCTGAAATTAGCTTTCTTTTGATATGTCTTTGATGGTAGAATATATATTTCCCTTTACATTTTTGAGAAAGTGGTCCTACACAAATTCCCCTCTGAATCAAAGGGAGAATTCTGAGTCATCTTCTCCACCCAAAATTAGCTACTGGGCAGAGCACTGTACTATCAAACTGGGAAACAGAGTATTCTCCCAGGTTTACAGAGAAACATTCAGCTTAGAAGGAACTAACCACAACCCTGATATGCAGGTTGAAGGAAAGATATTAAGTATTTATCATCTCATAGCTCCAAATATCACATCAATGGTAACCAATGACTGTGGAAAGCCTTGTTATGGGCTGTTACACAGGAACAGCGAAGAAATATCCCATAACAAAGAAAGCCTCTGAGGGGTATGGAGAAAAGACTGGAGTCAAACTGTTGTCCAGTAACTATTTCAGTAATGTCAAGCAACATGAATATTTCTAAAAAACTGTACATCTTTTTGCTTATATATAAATTATATGTAAAATCTACAAAACAGCGGTAAAATTAAGTCTCTGAATACATATCCATTGTTCTTGTGAAGGACCACTTTATGTTCTACTGGAAACACTGTAATTTAGAAATGCAAAAGTATGCCTGGCTGGTTTTGTATCTTTTCTTCTTTAAAATGTTAAACAGATACTATATATATATATATATATATATGTTGTTAAACTAATTTTAAATTATTAATAAATATTTTACTATAGAATGTAAGGAAATCTAGGAAATGCCACATTCATTATTTTACACTATAGTAGGCTCTTCAACTGTGGACTGAGATGGTTGTGAGATACAGGACTGGAATGATGTGTCAAAGTTTCCAGCAGTGCAGTTATTTATTCTGTCACCAACATGGACAACTCACATAACCTTTGTATGCTACCCTTTTGTAGACATTAAGAATTACTCACAGACAATTTTAGGGAGCCTTAAATAATCCTCAATAAAATCTAGTTTTAAAAATGAAAAGTAATATTATGTTCTAAATTATTCAATCTATCAAAGAAATTTTACTATCTTTAAAGAAAATGCATGCCAGAATGTTAAAGATTGCTTTATAACTGGCATTGATATTTTCTACAGGAAAATACTTTTCAGTGAATGCACATACTTTTGCTTTTCTTTACTTTCTATACTTTTGCTTTTCTGTATCTGTTCTATTTACACTTTTCAGCCCTGTTAACATCACCGTATTCCTGTACTTTTGTCTTTATTCTCTATAATCCAATACGCATTGCACACTCTTCTGTAATCTGGCTATTAACACAGTGGATGCAGCACTCCTTCGGGGATTGACTGTGGCAGTGGACGTAGTACCCCCTCTTCAATTAGCACGGTTAGCTCTATCTGCCCTACTGAGCTGAAAGCAGTGTCTAAGATGGCCCCTAACATTCCCTTGGAAATGGAGCTTCCTGGTGTCAAGATTGTACATGCTCAGTTTAACACACCTATGCAGTTGTACTCAGATGACAATATCATGGAAACACTGCAAGGACAAGTTTCTACAGCTTTGGGGGAAACACCCATAATAAGGTAATTAGAGCAGTATCTTTAATATTTATGAATATACAAATTACGAATATACCAAAAATCATGAGCTTTGTTAATATCACAGTTTCTATGAAGATGGGTAAAAGGATTAGAGAGAACCTAAGTCATTTAATGCCATTCAATATTTTCATTAAAGTAATAGTAATTTATTATTTTTACCCAAAGTATTAAAGGAGTCCTTCAGAACTTACAAATAAATATTTCATAGGAAATAATCTTCTATTTGTAGATAATAAAAACAACCTGATGATACTACCTGGACTATTAGCTGACTGACCACTCCAAATCAAGATTTTGATTCCCTCCAAAATTCAGAACTATTTATTACCATAACTATTTAATAATCATTTAATTAATTATTCTTAATAAAATACTATTATTAACTCAAATTTATTTCAACTGTTGAAATTCAGGTTATGAAGCTCAGGAAATCTTGTAGATGTTCATAATGTTCGAGATAATTAACTCCAATTCAGGACAACTCATTCAGTACAACTAGCTCTTTTCCAAAAAGAGCCAGAACTGATTTGTAGGCCTACAAATCCATCTCTGACTTAGGAATTTTATCCATTGCAATGACTGAAAGTCAGGTAGGAATCTTGTGTATCTGAATAGCAATGATGATTATACAACGAAAAGTTTTAAAGCTTTTTTTTCAAGGGACAGTTTGTCATTCACGTTGCTTTATCTTTTGCATAATATTCACTTGTTTTTCTGTTTTACAACAGTGCTTATTTCATAATATGTATGGTGCAAATTAAAGCTAATTACTAATATTTTAAATAAGTAATAATCACTGGCACCAATGAGCCTTCTTCAGCACCTTTGAAGACTTGGGCTATTACTAACCATAGAAATCATATTTATATAGAAGTATTAAGTTCACCCTGTCTGATGAAACCAAAACCATAGTTCATTAAGCATTTGCAGAGTGATGTTACTCTACTGCATGAATATTTATCCTTAATCACAACAATTGGAGAGCAATAAAAGAAAAATTTGCTTTTTCTTTATTCTGAAATCATGGATTAAGCCCAGAGTAATGATTTCACAAATGCCTGGGGCATTCGCAGTTTGAGAACTGACTCTCTACACAGGTTTGAAATGTCTCTTTTGTTGTGGGATTAGTTTTCACTATGTATGTAATTAGAAACATTATCTCACACTTTTCTGTCTGTTTTCCTTTGCCTTCTGTATGTAATTGTATTATCACTTGTTTGATGTTTAGAAATATTTTAGTAAAAAGGAATCAAGGATTTAATTAGCCATTGGTGAGAACTGTAGAAACTCAGCTCCTTCTATTCATTAAAAGCTTGTGACAAGAGAAGAAAGTGGTAGTTTCTTCACCAGCTTAAAGATGGCTCAGAGAAATCTGAAGATGCAAACAATTAACATAAGCAAGAGGAGTAACTGCCTAACTGCTGCTGCTCTCACTGTGCCATTTGACAGCTTAGATGCTACCACAGGAAAAAACAAAAAAAAAACCAAAAACAAAACATGTGAAGCAAAACCCAGTCTAATTCCTTGTGGAATTAGTTGCATATTTCCAGCGGAAAGTTACCTAAGGTTTAACAGACAGTAGGAGGCCAGTTGTAACAGGAAATATGAACTGGACATTTATGTATATCTCACTGAGATAACAGACTTAATCAAAGTAAACTTGAACCTTTCTAATTAGTCCCATTAGTGGTTTGAAATGTACAAATGCCACACATTCAGCCTAATTCCTTGCCAGTGCATATAGTTATCTACTCTTCCTCTCAACTATTACATAGGATGTTAGTTATCATGATCAATTTAAAACATTCATCACAGAAATATTCTCAGCAAAATCTTCAGCGCTCATGTCATTGGAAATTCAATTATCAACAGTTGTTTGGAGAATAATTTACTCTACATTTTTATCATTAAAATGGCATTATGAAAAGTAAACTGTATTTCATTCTAATTAAATTAAGAAATGGAATTTCCATTCATTAGTATTCACTTTACAATGCTTCTTACTATGCAATACCTACTTCAATCTTTTTTGTCATCTCTGTAAGTTAGATAATTAACGATTATCTTAGCCAAATAATCACTATAATAACCAATGATTGAGCCAACCTAGAAAAGGAAGAACACCTTCACATCATGATAGTCTCCCAAAAGATTTGTTTGCTTAGATTTTGGCTGATCTTATGTACCGACATGAGCTGTGATTTTAACATTCTTCAGACCAGCTGCTGTGAAAACAGAACTTCTGGATACCATACCAAAGAACACCTGGTAAAACAGCAGTTGATTACAGGAATGCAACTGCTTTGAGGTTAAACACAGGTAATGGCCTATTTCCCAATGTCATTAGAGACAGAACAGTAATTATGGAAATACTTTCGTGAGTTTGCAGATTTATCTTTGTAAAAATTACACCGATTATTTTTTTCAGCACTTTTTAGATCAAGAGGAGGCTATATAAAGCAATGCTACCTGGAAGTAGTTGTAGAAACACACTGTCTTTATGTTTCCTGTATCATATGCTATGTCTGGTAGAGCAATTTTTTTGAAGTTTGTTAAACTACTTTACCTGCTCTTCTTCCCTGTGATACAGTGACCCATCTCCCAACGCAGTGCCTCAGTCTGACGTGTACAAGATGCTGCATGCCAACCAGGAGGAGCCCAGTCAACCTCGCCAGTCTGGCTCCTTTAAGGTGCTCCAGAATTTAGTCTCCGAGGAAGGTGGTTAACCATATTCTACCTGTTCAAACCATTTTTAAATGTTTGTGGGAAGGGGGAATCTGAGAAGAAAATATATCAGAACTAAAAAATTTCTGAAAGCCCAAGTCATTCTAAATTTTATCGATAGCACACCAGCCTCCTAACATTTTCCCCCTTGCTTTTATACTGAGAAATCTCCTGTTTGAATAAAATGGGGGTGTCAATTTTTTATCTCTCAGTATTTACCAGAGAAGGGATAAATACATCTGGCAATATATATAATTGTGGGATTTTTCTTGGTATTTTCCTATATTTTGCTGTAATTCTCAATTCATATCATGTTATTAATCTTTCTGAATTTGTCATATGGTTAGTTATATAAATAAGAAGCTTTCTAACAATAGGTCTTGACTATGTTATGTTGCTTTGTTAAAGTCAACTCCTCTGCTCCCTCCTGCTTTATCAAGACCTACTATCAGAAAATTAAATTATGTCTATGAGACAGAGAGCACTATATATATAATCACTTTTGTACTTGCTTTTTGGCTACAACTACACAATATTTTTCCTGATTCCAAAGAGGTAGAATCTGGCCCACTAAACTTATATAGAGAAATTTCATTGTTTGTTGATGTGAGGGAAAGCCTGTAAATACATCCAGAAGTGTATTTACAGAAAAAGTATGGATGGATGGACGGTCCCAGAGAGTGGTGGTCAGTGGAGTTAAATCTAGCTGGTGGCCGGTCACAAGTGGTGTTCCTCAGGGCTCGGTGTTGGGACCATTTCTGTTCAACATCTTTACTGATGATCTTGATAAGGACATAGAGTGTATCATCAGTAAGTTCGCAGATGACACCAAGTTAAGTGGGAGTGTCGATCTACATGAAGATAGGGAGGCTCTACAGAGAGACTTGGATAGATTGGATCAGTGGCCAATGTTAACGGGATGAGCTTCCACAAGGCCAGGTGCCAGGTCCTGCACTTAGGCCACAACAGACCCATGCATGGCTACAGGCTTGGGGAGGTGTGACTGGAGCTCTCTGGAAGAGAAGGATCTGGGGGTTCTAACTGACGAGCAGCTGAACATGAGCCGGCAGTGTGCCCAGGTGGCCAAGAAAGCCAACAGCATCCTGGCTTGTATTAGAAACAGTGTGACCAGCAGAAGTAGGGAGGGGATAGTCCCCCTGTGCTCTGCACTGGTGAGGCCACACCTGGAGTGTTGTGTCCAGTTTTGGGCATCTCAATACGAGAGAGATATCGAGGTGCTGGAGCAAGTGCAGAGGGGGGCAACGAAGCTGGTAAAGGGCCTGGAGAGTAAATCCTGTGAGGAGTGATTGAAGGAGCTGGGACTGTTTAGTTTGAGGAGGAGAAGGCTGAGGGGAGACCTCATCACTCTCTACAACTACCTGAAAGGACATTGTAGAGAGGTTGGTGCTGGTCTCTTCTCAGAGGTAATTAGTGACAGAACAAGAGGGAATGGCTTTAAACAGCAACAGGGGAGGTTCAGACTGGACATTAGGAAAAAAAATTTCACAGAAAGAGTGGTCAGACAGTGGAATAGGCTGCCCAGGGAGGTGGTGGAGTCACCATCCCTGGATGTGTTTAAGGGTCATTTGGATATGGTGTAGGGGAGAACTTTGTAGAGTAGGGCTGCTGGTTGGTCTCGATGATCCCAAGGGTCTTTTCCAACCTGAATGATTCTGTATTTAACTGCATCAGATGCTTTTATATTAGCCTGTACATAACAGGATTGTTTTGATTCTCAGATGGACGCCCCATGGGTACAAGAAGTGTGAAAGCACCTGTAACAAAGATACCTACTGCTGTGCCTGGTGTCCAGAAAGTGCCACTGTGTGACAAGTGTGGGAATGGGATTGTGTAAGTTGTTTCTTCTTGGTTGCAGAAATCTCTAGTACACATCCTCAAACACCACTGCAGACTACAGGAATGCTTTCCAAATGATGGTCTTGGTTTCCATCTGCACTAGTAGAAAAATGCTTCCAGAGAACAAAGATGCAAAAATACATTGTTCTAAATCCCGTCAAGGCTTTCACTAAGATTTCATAGGACCATCTGCAAGTCAGTCTTTAACACATAATGAAGATATAATGAAACCAGCAGTTACCTGTGCTGCATTGTCTCAGGATGTGAATTCTCAAGTTTCTTGGTAGTTTAAAGCATCCTTCTCCCAACCCAGTGGGAGTATCCAGAAAGCTCTCTGGGCCTGTGTTAAAACTACAATGTGAATGACATCACTAACTTCAGCAAAGAACACAGATAATGATAATCTCAGAGAACACAGTCACTGAGGAAAACAATTTGTTTTTAAAGTCATTGTGTCACCATTTTGGTAGGTTGGACTGTACTTTCTGTGTTTTAACCAAACTAACATATTTCTTCAAACTCTACTTTTCCAATGAACTACTGAACTATGTGATCAACTCTACAACATTTTATGCCACTTAGTCAAACTCAGTTTCCAACCTTAAGATAATAAAGTATCTGGCAAACAAAACAGATTAACAGCCTGAAAGCCTTAAGATCTAGAATTTATTTTGTGTCATATTGTAGTTTCTTCTCACATTAAATTCATATGAATTAACTGGGGTTTTCTTTTCATTTTTTCCATATAGAGGAACAGTGGTGAAGGCACGTGATAAATATCGGCACCCAGAATGTTTTGTGTGCTCTGACTGCAATCTCAACTTGAAACAAAAAGGCTACTTCTTTGTGGAGGGCCAGCTATACTGTGAAGTCCATGCACGAGCTCGCATGAGGCCACCAGAAGGATATGAAGCAGTTACCGTTTACCCAAAATGTTAGTCTTACATTAACACACAAATATATGCATGCACACAAAAAGCCATTAACAGCTTAGAACTGCAGTACAAGTGTCAGGACTTCTGCCTGATCCCAAAGTAGAAGCTTTTAAACATTTTCTTGTGGGATTCTTGGGAAGTGGAAGTCCCTATTAGCCAGCAGTAGCATGTTATACCAGTAAAATTCTGCTAAAATATTATCTTTGAAGATGCCAACATAACTCAATGAAGTATAAACTAAAACAGCTGTACTGGAATAAAAAAAGTGAGACAGCCAAGGTATTACATGATTACTACAGTATATATGTAAGTGCTGTAATCAAGACATTATTTTTAACCTAAATTAACTACCTATGCAAACACCAAAGCCATTCAAGTGATACAGGCCAGGCCCTAACAAGTGGAGAAACTTGACAGATCATTAGAAAAGCAGCTATTTTACATGGATAGTACAAAATAAGCAGTTGTTCATGTCTGCTTCTACCATCTATTATTCAAGTACCATTAATGTATGCCAAAAATAGATTTTGCTTATTTTGCTTTGAATTTGGGTTTATATTAACTTAATTTTCTGATGCAACAACTGTGATAAGGGATAAATATAAATTCATACAATAAAATGGCTAATGTAATAAAGACTTTAGTAAGAAGTAAAGAACAGAAAGTTCTACATTGTTCTAGTGATTTGCAGTGACATCAGCTTTCACATCACTTAGTAGAAAATTGTTCTGAGGCACATACACATATACGTTGTTTTTTGGGAAAAACAACAAAAACAAACACACTCTAATAGGAACTCACTGTAAATTTAGAATGAAGGTAAATTTAAAACCTTTCTGCAGAGAATGGTACTGGGTTTTGCATCTCCATCTTTCAATTTCCATAATAGAAACAATAGGGTAATATCAACATAATGTCTTTATTGATGGTAAATTATAACTTGGACAACTTTAAAAATAAATGTTAATTAAAATAAGCAAATGAAAGATCTTTTATAAAAAGCCTGGTGAAGTCCTAAGGAAAAAAAAAAAAAAAAAAAAGGAAAAAAAAAAAAAAAAAAGGCTGAAGGAATAAAGTTTTAAAACAATTTCTGAAACTTTTATGAGCTACATTGCTTTCAGATAGGTGTCAGCTACATATATACACCTGACTGACATACTGAACCTTACCATTTTCAAAAAATATCACCATAAATCAGAAATTATTTATTGGGGTATTTTGAATCCACTTTAAAGTAGAAAAATCTACAAAATTTTATATCAAGTTTAAAAGACTAGTAGCAACTCAGTAGCAAATATCTTATATACTTTCTCCATTCTACAATATAAGAAGCTTAAAATGTAAGAAGAATATGGATTCAAAGTAAGAAGCTGTACATATTTGAAATTTATTTTTAAAATTCAGATGCATCCCAAAGCTTGAAATAAAATGTCCACATATTCAAAGACTTTTCAAAATGTCTTAAAGTATTATTTCAGAATTTAAATGTTTTTAAAATGTGTGTGTCACTGCATTTATAATTTATGTATGCATATCAAAAGCAGACATAAAAAAAGTGTTGCACCCTTTTAAAGATCAGTTCCTGAATTATTTTTGGGCACAAAATGTAATTCTGCTCCTCATGGAGGCTATCTGTAGCATTTATGTTTTTCCACTGATAAAGCCCATCTGAAAATCCTTTTGAAAATCAGAGTGCACATAATGTCTATTTTTACAAACCTAAAATGTCATCTGTGGTTTAAAATATTTGCTTAATGTTCATTTATTTGTGGGGTAACTGAAGGTAAAAATAAATCTACTACATATGATAATTATTTTGTATTTCCTTTCAACTGGTATGAAAAACGACGAAGTGTGAGTGTCAAGTGACTTGACAATAATAGAAGTTTGGCATTTTTAGCCTGTCAGAGGAGTATCCTTTGGATTTATCAACCCCCTGGAAAGAACGAAACACAATTTTTGTATTAGGTCTTTTGAGTACTTTTTGAGTACTTTTAGTTAACCAAAATTAGCTTTCTAAAACTAAATGAGATCGTGTGCTTTCAAAACTGAAGACCCAAAAGTGCTCTCTTTAACAGACCAAACTTACCAACTGTAAATGTGGGAAAGCTTGGAAATGTAGTTACAAGAAGTGTTAGGTTAAAAGAAAGTTGTAGAACATGACCTGATGCCAAAACTCTGGGGAAAATTCAGTGGTATTGCATCATCACATTATGCTATTTTGAGACGTTTTAGGTTCGACATGATTTTGATAGAATGTAAGCCTATCCAGTTGCAAGCACCGACCTATGTGAAAACCTTTACTCCAATATAACATAAAGGAAACAAAGATTTTCAGTTAATGAAGATTCTAAAATCCTTGATCCTCATAGAGGAGAAAAATAGGAAATTTCATCCTACAGTCACTTTAGTCTTGGGGAACTGAATATAGAGATTTAAATGTGATAGAAACATATAGAAATTCTCTCAACTTCATGCTCAAGGCTGAATTCTTTATGTCAGTAGAGTGTCAGTAGTCCCTGGCACAAATCCTTTACGAAGTGTCCAGCTAAAGAACTATCCACTTTATCTTTGGCTTAAGAATGGCATAGCCAGTAAATCGTAATAGCTTAATGCTATTATGCCTCTCAGCTCTGACCAGACTTATATATATATATATATATATATAATAAGCTGAAGAGGGTCATGACATTTATTTTTAGATTAAGAGAATGATGGGAAGTGTGACTTCATATGCTTGTTACCTTGAGTCTTCAGATGCTGACCAACAGGTGTGAAAAGGTTTCCTCAGCTATGCTACTGCTGCACAAACATCAGGGCTGTTCTGGGAGATGTTCTGGATGTTCTGGGAGATGAAAAACTTCAATGAAACTGTAATTCTCCAAATGAGTAAGCCAAGAATTGCATCTGAAAATAAAGAGATTAATTTACATGGTGCTTTTGTACCAGTTGTTCCAAGACAAATGCTTTAGGTCTTTTAGGTAATGCTGAAGTGTTGCCAACAATTTGAAATCTAAAAAGTTCTCTAAAGCAGTTCAAAGAAACTATGTTGTTTCCATCAACTCAATAACTTTTTGCAGTTTTCCAACCACATTTCATCACTTAAAAAATTAGACTCACTTTTGTCCAGATCAGAAATATGCCCTTGAAAGTAAACCCCCCACCACTCCTACTTCCTTCATTTTTGTTCCACATCACACAACAGCTTCCGAGTGCACAAAGTGGTTTCCTTTACAGTGAAATTCAACTAGAAGATGATCTCTGGGAGCACTAACGCACACCAACCACTAATGGGAATTCAGTCCATTAAATCAAACAAGAGCTAAATAGCCCCCTGTGAATCACGTATTAGGTAGATGCCAGGTCCTCAATACTAACTGATCTGCTCCTACTGCACCATGCTGCCTGCTAACGCACACGTAGCTTGAAATATTTCTTGCAACTTTTATAGAGAAAAAGTTTCTTAACAGAAATTAAATTATAGACTGTTCAAAACTAGAGATATATCTAGTCTCAGAATTTGGAACCAGACTTCAGACGTTCCAAAGCTCAGAGGTGTTTGATCAAGAATTTTGGTTCAGATTTCTATAAACCATATAAAAGGGAACAACTGTGGGGTTGGGTATAGACATGACTTGAATGTAAAATGCATAAATTTGGTTTAAACTCTATTTTATGTCTTTTCACAAGGACAATAATATTATTATTATTATTATTATTATTATTATTATTATTATTATTATTATTATTAACCTAGTGGGTTCATACATTTATAAATAAGACGGTGGGAAATAAAATACTTTTTTTGGCATATATCCAGCAAATTTTATCTCTAAAGGCAACTATACTCTGCAGATTTGCCCTTTTGTGTTTCTTTTCTTTTTCTCCTCTCATCCAAGCAAGCTACTCAGATAGGGGTTTTTTTAAATTGTTAACAAGAAGCTTTCAGAATCAGATTATTCTTTTTTTCCTTAATACATGACATTTTAAAATAAAATGCATACGAGTTTTCAGCATATGCTCAGTACCACCAACTAAAATCTTTGTCTCCACACCATATGCTTCATAAGTAATATTATCCACACAATGTTCACAAAGGATTTTGTTTCTATATATGGTAAAGCACACATTTGTTTTAGCATACTGAGTGTTTTTAGTTACACTCAGTCTACTTAATCCTCCCCCCTCCCATACCAGGGCATGATCCAAAGACCAGTAAAGCTTTTAGAGTCTTGTAAGATTGTATATTATACTACTCTGAAATAAATGCTCTCTGTAGAAACTGTAGAAACTGTAGAGTAGTTAAAGGTAATTATTTATTACCCAGAAAACAAAATATTTAGTAAATACCAAGAGGAGTCTGAGCAAGAGGAAACAGCACTTGCAAGCTTTTCACAGTTTTTTCTTTTCCAAACACTGTTTAAAACAGTTTTATAGATGTCTCATTCTCTGTATAATGATATTTTTTTTTAAATCTTTTTAGTATATTCTTAATTTAAGAGGTTTTTAATTATACTGCTCTACCAGCAGCCTATAAAAAGTTAAATATTAATTAGACCAGATACACTAAAGAGATATGACTGGAACAACATGTGAAATGGCAAAAAAAAAAAAAAAAAAAAAAAAAAGAAAAAAAAAAGTAATACATGCAGCCAAATTGTCTCAGCACATTCAGGCCAAAACCAAGTTTGCATATTACAGGAGCAGTGTTGTTTATGATTTTATGCAAAACCTGTAGGGTGTCAGTAGCAACACCTCACACTCCTGCCACAAGGCACAGAAATATTCAGCCATTTTCATATAGAAAGGAATCTAAGTTTCCCAGCACCAGTTTTGCAGCCAGTGCAATTACAAGGTGTTTGCAATTGTGCAGATACAATTGTGCAGATACACAGAGAACAGGCAGAGGTAGTTTTCTTTGAGCAAGAGTAAATCCCAAAGATAATCTATGATTGCACAAATTACAATCAGTCTTTTGGTCTAGTTAAAGGTCTGCTTACAGATAAAATATCCTTTTCACATATTGACTATTCAGTTTGTGTACAGAACTCATTCAACCTCTTAATTATAAATTAATGCTATCTATTTAATGATCATATTTCTAACTGAAATTTCTCTAATTGGCAGTGTCACAAAAAATTCTTACTACTGCTATACTTTGTGGAGATTGAACTTGTAACATTTTTACTTCTGCAGTTTGCACATTTAAAGAAAATTAGGAGAAGGTTAAAACTGTCAAATGAGAGACACTTAACTAAGACACTTTTTATTGTGGTTTTCTAATATTTTCCAAGAATTGCATCCCTTTCTGCTGTTTTACTGTTGCAAATTCCCTCAATTTCATTTTACTTCCACTGCAAGAAGACCCCTACCTTCCAAACCACAGTCACTTTTACAGAGAGCTCCCGTTTGCTGCTCTAGATCTCTTGCACCTCTTTGAGCAAGCCAGTTCAAAACTATATGCAAGTAAGATGTATGAGGTGAAAAGTATAATTGTTTCAAAGTAAGATTCTTCCACTGTCTACCTTATCTCATTTTATTACTTATAGCAAATAAAATAAAGCAAATATTACACAAACACTCAGAAGCAGAAATGGCCCAAACATATCAGCCACTGTGTAGAGAACAAGAAATAATTGATTGTCCACAGTTTAAAATTCAGACTAAGAAGATTCAGCAGTTACAATATGGAAGGGAAAAGACACTATATAAAGGATAAATGGCATGATGATTTAGAAATATTTTGTTAATTTGCTTTTTTTCACCAAAAAAAAGATGACTGAG